TTTTTGCCCCCCCCCCCCCCCATAAACTGATAGGTTTACCTGATGAAACCAAATTGTTGTCACGTTAAGTCTAAGTTCTACATAATAAACGCGAGATTGACCAAACGATGATTCGAAGAGATGACGTTATGTGCAATAAAAATTCGTAAAATATATTATTAAAAAACTGCAATTCATAGATATGAAGTTCAGTGAAAAAATCATCCGAAGATATGACGCGTTCAAATACAAAAATTTTTTAATCAGAAAACGCGGATTTGGTGAATCGACGATTCGACGCAATGATGTGGCACCGTTTACGTATGTTAACGCTATGGTGTAAGCCAAGGAGATCGTCTGTTGTAGGCTGATACTGGGAATAAAGATTATCTAAACGTGAAGAATTTACGCATCAAAACGGTAAGTTAGAAAGCGGTAAATAATAACGTTGACGTACATTTTTGGAAAAATAACGAAGAAAACGAATGTAAATACGCTTCGGATCCCCTGCGGAGAAATTACGGGCCCAAGAGGTCCAAGTTCAAATGACCGACAAGAACCGGATACGTTATCATAACCAGGGTGTAATTCTCATAAAAGCGCAAACAATACAAGGCCAGCTGTAATACTGTCTGACATTGTCGAGATAATAATTACCGATTTATTCTATTCCATTTTTTTCCTGATATCTTCAGAATGATAAACATCAAGTTTTTTCTTGACTCTTTTTTTATTATTATACCAAAATTTATATATATTATACAGAAACTGCAATTGTATGCTTATACCAGATAATATACATGATAGGCTACTTATCAAATAATTATTAAAAGTGACCAGCAATGAGAACTTATTCAGTGAAATTTTGCACGTGCATGTACATACATACCTATGTAAATACATAGACAGACAGAGAGGTTATCAGAAAATAAACGGGGTTCATAGTGCATCTCAATTAACTGGATATTAAAACGTCGCTCAGTATAATCAATCGATAAATCCGAATGACGCGCGAAGTAGCGGCTTCTCTTCATTAAAGTGAAATTTTTATCAAAAACATTTCAGATTAACGTTATACATTCTATTAATAGTCTGACACGATTAATACGTAAATTCGCATTAGCCTCATAATCAGATACAGCGAATTAAAATCATCTGGTTAATTGTCATTTAGAATGTGCCGTTTAAGCGACCTTTTTAAAATATTATCACTCCGACGAGGGCAAACTCCAATTATAAATTTTGCTTATGAAAAAACTTTTATTCACGTATTAACTGTACTCACCGGCACAGGAGGCTGAACATACGTGAACCAGAGGACTGTCTGGTGGAAGTACGGAATTGAAGAATCCTTTGCTCTTCGAATACGTGCAGAAGTAAATAGCTCTGGAAGGTGCTACGCCGACGAGGTTAGGTCCAAGTCCTTTGAAGAGAGCCCGGGGGCCTTCGTTTTCCACGATGTACCTCAAACACTGCATCAGACCTGGAGGTGGGTGTGCGTGGTGAGGTCCACCTCCTGGCGGAGGTGCCACACCGCAGTGGGACAGGGCCACCAGGGAGTACCTAATCGGTCGATTGATTTGAGTGTCTTATTTGGAAAATTCATATCATATATGAGATTGATAAATGATATTCGTGATATACATATTTTGAGGTTACGTTCGTTCGATTTCGTCGTGATAATTTTTGATAATGTTACTTCATTAGTTATAATACCTTAATACGTTGTTTCCCTCAAGGCGCCTTTTTAGTGATCGTGGAAAATGGTAGGTATCGATACGTCGATGATTCAGTGCTTGGCAATGCTTTACGAAGAAAGCCTTTTGGATCGATCGGTTTTTTGTTGCGTATGTGAAATGATTGATAATGTGTACAATCTTTAACGTTTATTGCTTCGCAATTTACCTGGGATAACCACCGGTGCATAATCTTCTTCGTTGCTGAGGAGTTGGGAAGCTCTTGCATGTGACATGGCCAGACGTCAGTTCTTTGTGTCCTGGCGGTGGATAGAAACCGGAAGAAGATGACTGTAGACGTGTCTTCACTACTTCAAGAGGACAAGTCACTATGGCGCCAACCGTGCCAGCCACTCTGTTCACAGAAGAATTTACAAAAAAAACTGTTTAACACTGTTTCCTTCATGATCGCAATGATCTTTCTACTAGTTCACATTTTTGAGGTTTTTTTTTAAGTAAAAAAAAAACATTGAAGAAAAAGAATAGATATCGCAAATCACGAAGACGCAAATTGTGTACGATCTTAAGATCAATATTATACGTTGATGCTATCGTTAATTTTTCTAAAAGGTATGTACTGTAAGAGGGTCTTTATATGTGATTCATATTACAATTCCCATAAGCATTGCATTGTCATAAACATGCCATCAATTTACGAAATGATCAAACGTAATAAGTCAGAGCAAACGATGGCCTGTTAAATCGTGCTATTTATATCACACGTTAGAATCATTCAAGAGGGTTTCAACGGCCACGGCCTTTTGCGTCGTGAATCGGCTAGAATGCGCATGAGCCATATATACTCTCTCTGACTTAACTAGCACATAATATAGCATTGGCCAAGTATGGCGTCGCGCCATGCGCCTCAATACGTAAACAAACACTATCTGCTGTTTGGTATTTATCAGTCGTGAAGATCGTGTGGCAACCGTACGAAAAGACAAAATGATAATGATCGTTTCTAATCGCTGATCATCAGAAAACAATATAAATATTATATTACTGTTAAACAATAGAGATAAAACGCTCCAAATATAATAATACATGGCATCGGTTTATACGTCATTGAATAAACAGACATTGCACTTTAGAATATACGGTTAATCTTCAAGGACGTCTAAGTTTAGTTAATTCGAGAGTCTAGCAATAAACAAATCAGTCTTGTTGCTATTAATTTTTTCTTAACCTTCTCCACAGTTTTTACGTTTCTAATCGAACGCACCTGGAATTACATGTTATCTAAATTTTCAAGCTTGGATAACACGTTCGCTTTTGTTACGAAATTTAGACTTTACCCTAGTTTTAATTTTCTTCTGTGTTTTATCAACCGATTGGATGACAGTTGAATGAGTTAGCGTCCAATTCGCGAACACTAGCCTACGAACGCTGTACTTTTCCATCGACCCGAAGACGGATTCACCAGGGCAACGACATGATTTAAACACGTAAAGTCCGTATTATCGGAATGGTGCCAACTTTCCTCGCTACACACGCGTCAATTACGAAGTTTTTTGGCAGAGTTAGATAGTCAATTTCGAAGTTGAAACGCGTCGTGTAATCAATGTACGATTGTCATTGAGTTTTCGGTATACGTACATCCTTGATCGTCGATAATATTTCTGCACATTTTCAATATTTATGAATGTGCATTTCACGCTTAAAAAAATGTGGCACTAAACAATAAAACTCCATACTAGTGACATCCAATTGAAACGGCGTTCGTTTGTTGTGTGAGTAAAATTGCGTCAAGATTGGATATTAAGAAAGACGAAATAAAAGTAAATTTATGACAATAAGAATTTAAAAAATGAGTATGAGTATACAAGCATAGCTTCATATTCATTTCAATAAAGTTGGTAATACGTGTTTACATATTGCAAGTTAATGAGGTAGCAAACGAAGGGAAAGATCAATGTAGGTTGATTAAAATGAAGCAAATGGCAGTGTTTCATACAAATTAGAAAGAAATTATGGTCAAGGTCGTGACGCTTGCTTCTAAAGGTTTCATGATGTAACGTATTTTAAAATGTCGGTAACCAAGATTTTTAAATCGTTCTAATGGATAATAAGTGTTTAAAGCTTTTCAAAGATATTTGAGATATTTACCATCTTTATACGATTCTGCGATTTGCGAAGTATGTCAATCACTTCAGGAACGTTTATATAATGATTATCAATTGGATAGCACATATTTTTCTAACTGATTATAACCACTGTCTTTAGCACATAAAATATTTACGGCACATTACTACAATTTTCAACTAGTAGTGACGCAAAATCATGAGGCTTTAAAATATGTATACAACAAATATACATGTATTATTCTAGCATAGGTAATTCGTATAATACTACTAGTAAGGGAATAAATATGCTTTAAATTACTAATAAATGTCTCGAAAATTTTCGTCATTACAGCATTTGCACGATTGTTATCGTTCTAATCGAAATATTACATCATACAGTACTCATTTACATAAGTAAAAACAACAAATTTAAAATTATAACATTAACAGTTAAAAACAGCAGAGAGTATTAATTAGTATTATTCAAGGATGTCAATTATCTCCACATGATCTTTCTTGCACATAATTCGCTCCTTAATAAGCCATAGACATTTTCGTCTTGTAAACTCAATGAAAATATTATCATAACACAATATAGAAAATTCATTCACATTGGCACAATAGTCTGCGTTAAAATTTTTAGACGATGAAACATTTTTTTTATATAGCATCCTTGGCTACCACAGTGAAAAATGCCAACACTGCATATATCTCAAATATCCAATCCACACAAAAAAATAATCGTAGAATTGAGAGTAGAACCAGTAACAGTGCCATAATATATTTTAGATTTATTAAAGTCTTAAAAACAAAATTGGAAAACTGATAAGCCCATATCACTCCAAGTATTTGACGTGATTACCGAAAATATTCAGAATTCAATGATGGGTGTCCCAAAACTGTATCAATAAAAATTCGTAAATAAAAAGTATTATCCCCATAAATATGAATTGTGCTCTACTCATGACCGCCATCCTTATGATTTTCATAGTCAAGTGCAACGATGCATTGATGATGCAGCAGCCTACATGTGGTAATAGCATAAGGACTGCAAGCTGCGCACAACCGTGAAATACATTGGAGCTGGTGAATTATTGGCGTAGGTCTCGATTCTAGATGCCGTGTTGGGGTTAATTAATTATGTAATAGTTAAGACTGAAAAGCACACAACATAATACGAAACAAATTGAGATGAGGAAGCAGAGAGAAGAAATAATTGAGAAAAATTCATAGAGACCCACCCTCCGGCCACAAGATGTATGACGGTGTCGCGCTGCGACATTCTCGTCGTTAAAAATTTGTATCTTCGTGTATCCTTGTCGCTGTTGCGACGGTATGCACTTCGAGACTTGTTAGTCGGCGAAATAGTAAGGAGGTAAGAGCAACCGGTTTTCTGATGAAAAACACCGTTTCACTTTTCGGACCAGGCCTTGCGGCCGGTAGGAACGTGTTCAGGTGCGAATTGGACGTATCGCGATTCACGAATGCACTGATCGGTTTCAGCTGTTTTAGTTTTATATTTGTAACACTAAACGAGAACGTGAAACACCTCGATGAAAATTGATACCGACCAACGTGCACTGTCGCCTGAACACAACTGAGGTCTTCCGCAACGAGACACGAATGCTTCGGCAGCGCCATATTCAAATTGGTGACTGGATTCTGAACTTGAATGATTCTATACGAAGTAAAATTTCAACTTCCTATTGCTGCGAGTTATCAGATTTTTATTTAAAATCTGTTTAGCATTGTATACTTTAGTATTTTTAGAAATTCCTCGTGCGTATAAGATAGTTACTTTGTGTTGAATTGTTCTTTGTCAGTTGATAATGAGGAACTTATTATGATTTGTGAAAAATAAATATTATTGTCAACTGGATCTTAATGATTATACGTTATGTAAAATACAGTAATTATCTGGAATGATTAGTTTGTATTGTAAAGTTAACGTGGAAAATCTTATATAAATACTTAATATCGACATGTTATCATACATAGTTTTCTTAAAACGATCTGATATATAAAAATATTATATCAGTAATAAATAGCGAGTTTTAAAGTCTGTTTACTGAATTCTGTTTTTCTTCTCGTTAAAGATTTTGTATAGTGTAATTATTTCAGTTAAACTCTTCTTCCTTTTGTTTTTCAATGGCAAGATGCATGGCTCTTAAAAATCGCGGTACGGTAGTCGTTCTAGTATGAAGATACAACGCATGTGCCAAGAATGGTATTTTTCTCAAAACACGACCGCTTAAACCAACACTTTGTCGACTCAGTTCACACAGCATCAAACTGTGTTTCGTTTCAGACGTTTCCTCGTATCCCAGCATCTTTAAATAAGACATATCATGAATGGTATCCTGATCCACGATGCCGGTCTACAACAAAATTTTAATAAATAAATTAAAAGCAAACTAATTTAAATAAAAAATAAAAAATTAATTTCATGAATTATGATCCAAGTACCCTCATAAGTTCTTTAAGGCAAGATGCATAGATTTTGTAAATGGCAAGATCTGTAGGAAATCCGATAAATTGTTTGATATCAGCACGATCGACAAAAGCCAGATCAATGGCTTCTGTTACATTACTGGTTGTCAATATAAGAACATTAGGATATCGTTTAAGCTGATCCAGTTGAGTTAGTAACGCGTTTACGACACGAATCGAATCGCTAGGTTCGGTTCCATTGATACAAGCTTTACGTGCATGAGCCAATGACTCAACCTCGTCAATCAGAACACAGACAAGTGCTTTGGGATTTTGAAGTAGAATTTTGATTTCCGAGAAGAGCTTCATTACTAACTTTCCACTCTGAAACATATACAAACTTCTTGCAATCTTCATATCTAAATACATATAATTGGATGACTATGGAAATGATGTAAATATTTACCTCAGAAAACCATTTAGAAAACAAACTGTGGCTATTTATTTCTACAAGTTCTCCGTGAGAATAACGATCTCCAAGACGAATTGTTATTTTTTGTGCAAGAGCCTTGCAGAGACTTGTTTTTCCAGTTCCTGGTGGTCCATGAAGCAAAACCACTCTGTTGCAGTTTATAACATTGGGATCGACAAGTCGATCTGAGAAAACAGCAATTGTTTCCACAAAATCTAAGAGCTGCAGAAAAAATATTAAAAATGATTTAAATGAAGATGTATATGACATATGCATCTGGAATAGAATAGTTCGCAACATTCTTTCTGTAATAACAGTGCTTGTAGTATTCAATACATGGATATTGAAATGTAGTTTTAACATTATTCAAAGATGTTTTCTTAAGTAATTTAAGTATCTAACATTTTCTTTTACTCCAGAATCATAGTACAAATTTTCCCACAGCCCATGGAATTCTTTACTGGGTAAAATACAGTTTGCAGCAACTGGTAATTCTCCATTATCATCCTGCATTGTTTCTATTGCAGCTTCTTCCTGTACAAGTCTATAGACGTATAGCTGGATATTCGTTCCCTTGACTTTAGTACGAGATTTCTAAAAATATTTATACTTTTTAAAATAATTATTCCCAGTAAAATCATAACACATTAGAAACAAAAAATGAATGTACCTCATTATTTAAAGAACATAATATAGATTCAACATGTGTCTTTACAATTTCATTACTAAAAAAAGTTCCTAAAAGCAAGGAATTTAAAATCACTTCTTCCAGAAGACATAGTTCTGCCTTGACAGCATCTTTGATGTCCTGCTGCAATAAGGTGCTGAAAATATTTAACTAGATCTTAGAACTGAAAGAGCTTAGAAACTTCTATGAAACAATTATTTATTATACTATATGACATGCGAAACAACAAATAATCAACACTAAATGTCTTTGCATACCGATACATTATTAATATATAAATCATACTTGACAATTCATTCATTGTAATGCACTAAAAATTGAACATACCTATCAATCTTCTGACATATTTCCACATGTAAAATTTCAACCATCGTGTCAAAGATTCAAGTAAATCTTTTAGAAATCTTCGAAGACAAAGAATACAAAGAAGCAGTAAAACCGTTGGTAAAACTCTATCCAACTCTATCCAACAACTCAAATTGGAATCATTTTTACATGAAAAACGCGGGAAATGTTCATCTTGGCCCTCTGTCATTTAGGAAGATTTATCTAGAGTAAAATAAATAATATTTGAAAAAAAATACTCTTGTATTAAAAAAAAAAATAACATAAATAAAATAAAACTTTTCATTGGTGGCCTATACAATAATTGCAAAACAGCTAATTATTCCAAATGCTGAAAATTGTGGTAAATAATTTGTATTCTAGTGATATTTTTCAAAAACTAGGGATTTTTAAGCTTGTCGATATATATCTAGTGAGATTTTGAGATGCATACAAGCTTATCTATTGAATTCGTATTCGAAGCTGGACGCTTGGCATTTTGTATTTTATAAAACGACAACGGACAAACGGTTTTCAAGGCGAGTGCCAAGTGCCGATATGTAGTAGGCAAGTTTTAAGTAACGATTAACAGTTGTAGTTTGATCATTAGTTTATTGGGCCTATAAAGGTCAATTGTTTTAAAGAGATGGACGGAGACGAAAGCAGAAGAAAAGCTTTGGAGTCTGGTAGGGAAATGGTATGGGATACATTTTTTTGTTTATAATTAGTTTTCGGCTATTTTTAAGTGTAATTAGAGCTTAGCATGCTAGAACTTCGGGACCTTCTCCTTTTTTCTTAGATTTTCACTGGGATATTTAGATCATCATAGATCAATGCGCTCCTTTATTGTTTTTATCTAATTCCCATTTGGTTTTGAGTACTTACTAGTATTTTTACGTTGACGACCGTCAAAAGCCGTTTAACACGGCTTGTATAGGATGGCCGTTATAAGAGCTTTTCAATTTTTTTCTTACCGGAAGCAAGGATTTTCTATTTATATAAAAAAAATATATAGAAGAATGTATGGAAATAGCTAATGGGAAATATGTAGCATCATTGAATTCGTTTTAATTCAGTATGCTGTTTTCAATAATTATTGACATATATTACTCATGATATATTTAATGCTAATAACTTATTTAGTGTATCTACTATGTTTGCATTACATAAATCAGTTTTAATGAGAGTATATTTAACCTTTAGAGGGCTGCATTTGAGATATCAAAAGAAGGCTTGAAATCGAGTAATAATCATATGTATATATTTGTGACGTATTACCATATGTATAATTCTCATTACAGTTAGAATTAATATATTGACTTTCCAGCCCTTTAAAGATTAATGGTATTGTAAATTATTCTTTATATATGTATATTATTTATTTGTAATATTGATCGTAGCTTGCCAAGTACAAGGCACAACGTTTCAGTAGAGGTCACAGTTCAGCAAACAATCAGGCTGGTGAACCATCTGATGAAGAATCATCACATAATGAGTTTGAAGCTCAGCAAAGTATTAGTGTAAGTAGAAGGTTGTTTGTGCTGTACATTATTGTGTAACTAGTTACCCAATTATGTATGAAATTAAGGATATCTGTTTGAACTAGATAAATGAAGTATCATCACAGGATATAACACACAGTAGCATCAGCATGAGTGAAGGTGAAGGAGATGGAGATCTTGAAGGAAGAGCTGGTAATGTGGCCAAACTTGCAGAACTTCTACAAGTCAAAGAAGCAGAGGTGGAAGCTTTACATGCAGAGCTTGATCATCTTCGGGCAGAGGCATCATCACCAAATTCATCACAAAGTAGAAGCAGTAGCATTCAGAACAGAGATATCATTCTTACGTATCATAACAAGGTAAATACAATAATATTATTCTATTATATTCAAGAGCTGTGTTCAAAAGGTTGAAGTTATTTATATTCATTACAAAAAATTTTTTTAAATAATTGAATATGATTACGATAAATGAATCAACACTGCGTTGTTTTATCTTTTGTTTTTTTATTTTTCTTAGCTAACTGAATATGAGAAAGCTGTAATTGATCGAGACAAACTGATAGATGATTTAACCTCATCCTTGAAGCAAGCCTTGGCAGCAAGAGATAATCTTGTAGCTCAAGTGAATTCCCTTAATGCGCTTAAGCTTGCTAACACAAGTATGGAAAGTGCTGAAGTTCTACAGGAGAAGGTATACAGATATTATATACAGTATTGATGAGAAGTCTAAAAATGCTACACACTTCATAATGGATAGTTAGTAGATTATACTTTTACTGTTAGGCGTCAAAAATATATTTTGAAATAAAAATCACATCTCATAATTTTTAAATCAAAGTTTACAGGCGGTTATTCCCTTTGTCATAGGTCTCGTCTTTGGAAATTACAATCAACGACCAAGGTGCTATGATAAACGAATTGAACATGGAATTGACCAAGTCAAAAGATCACGTACAAAGGCTAGAAATGGAAAGAGACACACAAAGAGTTGAAATCAATGATTATAAGACTCGGGTTGAACAACTAAATAAGCAAATTCGCGTCGGAGCAGAGCAAAACAATCTAAACATCGATAAGACATTAGAACAGCAAAAACAATATGAAGCAAGAGTGGACAAACTCAAAAAAGACATGCAAACGTTTGTAGATAAATTCACTATAGCAACCAATGAAAGTACAACGCATCATCAAAAGGAGATCAATGTACGTCACTTTATGAATATAATTAACAACAAAAAATGCCTATATATCCATAAATGTAGATAATTGTTTGAAAATTAATATTGATTTTTATATAATTCTAATGATTCTCGTTTCTCTCAGGATTTGCAAAAGAAACACGAAGCAGATTTAGCGAATCTTCGACAAAAATTTGAAGAACAGTTAAAACTGTCTAAAGAAGAATCAAAAACATTGGCTGACCGTCTAAACAAGGAGCTGCCTGACTTGGAAAGTCGTCACGCTAAAGAACTGTCAGCTTTTCAAAGCCAATTAGCTTATTACAAAAACACTGTGGAGGCTCTTAAATTGGAATTGATTAATCGATGTGAGCGTGAACAAAGTCTTCAAGCGGAATTATTAGCTTCGAAGTCTCGTTTAAACGAACTCATAGTTCAAGCAAACACCGAGCGCGAGTTGCTGCAGGAACAAATTCGGTTACATAAGCTTCAGGTGGACGAAGTGACGTCGAAGTGTTTGGCAGCTTCAAGTGTCCTGGATTCAAAAGAAAGTATTGAGCGTAGCCTGGAACAAGCTCTGAGCAACGCAGGTATGTTACGTGAAGAGAATGAAAAGCTGAGGATGGAGTTAGATGATCTTTCAGTGCGCTACACAGCTGCGCAGTCGCTTATAGAAAATAATCTAGCTCATGAACGGAGTATGAACAATAGAGTGTACGAGCTGGAGAAGTCTCTTTCTAGGGTGAGCGGTATGAGTTTTAGCAACACTAGTGAATTGAACGAGACCAGCTATCAGACTTTCGATGAAGTTGCCCTCCAGTTCCACATAACGCGACAGAAACTAGAAGAAAAGGCCGAGCTCGAAAAGAAGCTAATCGACAAAATACAAAACTTAGAAGAAGAGCTCGAGAAAGCGAATTTGGTGAAAGAGTCTTATGAGAAACAATTAAAGGATTCTAAGAATTCTTTCGACAAGCTTACGTCGGAAATGAATGTGCTAAAGGATTCGAATCCCCCAATACCCTTCCAAGGATCCATGTACTTTGGCGACAGTCATGATAAGAGTCTGGAGGATAAAATTACGGATGATAGCCAGAATCCAATGGAGATACTTGAGAAGAATCTAGAGGAATTGAAGACGAAGTTAAAGCAAAAAGAAGCAGAGAGTGCGGATAACGTAAGAAGGTTAGAGGAAATTACTCAGAGGATGAGGAAAAGTGAAGATGAGTGTGAAAAACTTAAAAGTGGATTAGCTTCCGCATGGGAACAGTGTGCATTTTTCGAGGAGAAACTCAATCAAACTTTGGCTATGAGCGAGAGTAGATTTGACGATTCTATGATATCTGAACGGATGAGTGAATTGAGTCAACTCTCTAAGAATATATCTAAGGACCATTTAGATTCTCATGATACATCTGGCCGCATGAGTGAATCCCATGATAGATCTAAAGATAACACAAGAGATTTTGTTGATTTGCCAAAAGTTAGTAGTGTCTCAACTAAAGTAGTAAATGACAATATAAAGAATAATGATATGGTTAATATCAGTCATGGAAGCGACTTGCAAGAAACTCCTAACCCTATTGTAGAGGACGCCACTAAAGATTTTTCCAGATCATTTCAAGAACATTTTTTAAGGACTTCTAGTAATGCAGAAGAGTTGCCTAAGCAAATTTCACAAGATAGCGATAACACATCTAAAGATTTATCTAGAAATAATTTCGAAAGAACAGATAATTCATTGAGCGGCTCTAACGAAGTGGAACTTCTTGATTCAAACAAGAAATTAGAGTCCAAAAAAGCCATGAATCCTGATACATCAAGAGATTCCTTAAAAGAAGCAATCCTTGTGAATGAGGAATTGGTAAGAACACTTCAGAAAAAGGAAGAAGAGTGTCAAGAAATAATGGGGAAACTGAATATGTACACTGAACAAGTGGAAGTTTTAAATATGGAAAAAGCTAAATTGATCGGTGAAAAGTTAGGTTTGGTCAAAGGTCTTGAAGAGTTGGAATCCTTACGAGATCAACTGGAACGTTTGAAAAAAGATCAAGAATTGTTGGCAAAAGAGTCAACAGACCTAACAGAAAAACATAAGAAGGAAATGAGTAACTTAATAGAAAGACATACTGAAGAGGTGGCAGCTATTAAAGTGGATGCAAGTAACGAAGTACAGAAGCTTAGAAATTTACTTCTGAGTGTGAAAGAAGGGACTGCTGGTTTAGATGAATTGCGAAATGAACTAGAGAGTAGGCATTCTCATGAGATGGAAGACCTTCGCACTTACTTTGAACAGAAGTGTCTTCAAATGGAGAAGCAGTACTCTGAAGAGGTCTTCAGTCAACAGTCTAGGAAGATCTCAGATGATGATAGTGAATTTGATGAGCTTATTGAGGATCCATTTTTCGGTGCGGCTGGCGATTGTCTTGGTGCAGAAACAAAAAGTAGAAAGTCTGAGGATGCTTCAAAAATCAAATCCGACAGTGGTGACAACGAAGATCCCTTGACACCTACTCGTGAAATTCAAGAACTTAAAGAACAGTACGAAAGGAAGCTAATTGAGCAAAAACAGTTCTATGAAAATCTTCTGGAGGAGACACCAGGGAAGAGACAGGATTCTCTAACCAAAGATGAAGTTCAGGTAATTTTATTGTAACTGATTAATGATATTTTGACTTAAGTTCAGATATTTTGACTAGGAATTTTATTATTACTAATGATCTTTCTTTATATTCAAGTTCGATAGCCTGGAAGAAGAAGAACCACAGAAACTTGATGAAATTGAGAAAGTCAGAGAGGAATATCAGAAAAAATTGGCAGAACAAGAGAAACTTTATGAGAATCTGTTATGCGAAGCCACAAAGAAGCGACAAGATTCTCTTTTGAATGTCGTTAGTCAGGTGAGATTTTTTATTATCATTTGAAAAATGTCCATATTAATAATGTTTGGCACGGATTCTGGATCATCTATAAAACTATCTATAATATTCTTCAACTTTTTCTATTGCTGACAATTCAGTTACTCATTGCTCTCTAATATTTACTTAATATAAATTTCAATCTTCAATGGTGCATAATGTACTTAGCAAAATATTTGGAGCCTACTGTAACTAAATCTTAACAATTTCCCTAGTTTTGTCGACGATCTTTCATCGTATTTGTCCCGTTTGAAGCACGATAAGTAAAATCTGTGAAAGTTACAGAGCAAATGTACCAGATCAGGGTTCCTAATTATATGTTCTGTGTATTGTCTAATGTTGGATCAAGTAGAGTAGCAAAACTATAAAACCTTCACCGAAGAGTTAAGAAGGATGATATAGCAAGATATAAATATATTCGCAAATCCAGAGCATGTGCACAAAAACATGCCGTTTGTGTAGTTCTAACAATTAAAGTGTGGTTTCCTGGCGAACTAAACTGTGAATCGTAAATTCGTAACTAACTTTTGTCCTGTGTGTGGCCTCGCATGCAGCCTTGCCAAACAGAATGGGATACAGTCACCCTGGAGAACGGCGAGCTTGCCAACTTGCGAGCTGCCTACAGCCACCAGCTCGAGGAACAGGTTGCCCTAGCACGGCTCGACATCGTCAACGCACTTCAGGAACAGATTCAGGTAGCTTATGGCCACCTGTTGCTACCGGCGCTTGTATCTTTTCTCTCTTCTCTTAAGAATTGGAAAAGAGAACATTCTAAGAGTCTTTTTTTCTTTTATATCCGTCCAATCGTCATAGTATGTTATAAGAAACGTTTAGAGAACAAAAAATGATTTCAATAAGGATACAAAACTTTTGTGGTTCCTAACGTTAAAGTCAGTCCATAATCGCTATCCTTGTTCATACTGTGGCGTTGGGATGCAACTCACCATGATTAAAGCTTCGGGTGGCAGAAAACATTCTTTACTATCCATGATCTAGCAGCTGCTACAAAAATCCAACAGGAAAACAATCTCAATACCATTTTAGTACATCACGTGCCGAAATTTATCGCTTTTGCGATTTTGTTATTATTAGCCAGTACTTCGTTTATCACAGCAATGTTTTGATAGCGTGACATCGGCATTATACAGGCTCTGCTTTCTGCCGATACGGAAACCGAAGAAAATTGGCCAGCTGAACTGCTTGAGCTACGAAACAAGTTCACGGATAATACAAGGCACGAGATGCAATGCTTAAAGGAGATGCACTCTGTAGAATTGCAAAGACTTAAGGAAGAGCATTCGCGTAGTCTTGCTAGAATCATTGATCGTCACCAGGAAGAACTCACTGGACTGAGGAAGGAATATGCAGATCAAGCAGTAACGAGGAAGCAGTTAAGTTCTGCAACTTTAGAAGATGATCTAATCGCTGAAAGGTGATACAAATATTTTTCTTTAAAAATAATGAATATATTATGATAATTGCATTAAGAGAATTGTAATATTGAGAGTATATCATTTCATTAAAATGTACTTTCAGAGACAATCTACGTAAATCATGTATGACTTTGAAAAATCTTGTTGGAGATTTGATCAAGTATTTCATGTCCTGCGAAGAGGAAGTGAACAATACTTTGATCAGCGAAGTCCTAAAGTCTCAACTATCTAAAACTCAAGAAAGCTCTGATCAGACATCTGTCTCGGATGTGGAGGAACCTTCTATGAACAAGATCAAAAGAGTTCATTTTGCGCCTAATTCCAGTGGTATTAGCTCGATCCTGAATAATCAAGATCCTCAAGATTTAGCACAAGATGAGCAAGATTTTGCACAGCAACTGAGAACTGAGTTGGATCATTGCCTTAATCGTCTCAGGATAGAAAGTGCTCAGATTTTAGGCATTAGTTTACCAACAAGACAATGTAAAGTGGATATATTTTCAAAACCAATTTCGTGGAGTAACAAAACCAATGAAGAATTACAATACCAGCTGGCTGAAAGTGAAGCTATTATCACTGAGCTTCGCGAAGAATCTGAACACCTTAGATTCCGTGTACTTGAACTGCAAGATCGTTTAGTTGCAGCTGAGACTAAAAAAGAAATTATTAGTGAAGGTTATGGCGAGCAGGAAGACCCTGGTGTTCCAGTATCGGTAGAGAGCTTGTGTCAGCTACAAGACAAAGGTAGATTCCAAATTAAAAGTATAATCAATCCAATACAAAGTTCACACCAATTAATGATTATAAGAACAATATTTAAATTTACTTAATGTTCAATTATTAGTCATTTTAAAACTTTATTCATTTTACTTTTACTCTACAGCAAGATCTGTTCTCAACAATGGTGGTGGCGACAACTCGTACCTACTTCAGCTTATTGAAGAGCTTTGCCGTCACAGCGATAAACTTTTAGACGATTCGAAACGCGACAAAGAGGACTTGCAATTACAGGTAAGATCACATCCAAGGTGTTTAGAACTGGATGCACCAGCTGCATGAATGTTATCTTTCAATGAGCCGCGGTGTTTGCGTATTGAAACGGTTGATGCATTTAGAGCCCGAGTTACATCGCTAGACTACGCTCTGGCCGAGAGTCCAGTCTCCGAACCCCACATTTGAAAAGTTTTCCTTTTTACGTTATTATAGATTTTCGTTTTTTTTTTTTTTTTTTTTGTATGAGTTTTGAAAACCATTTTATTTATCGAACAATCGTGGGGAAAGGATTGCTGGATTTTATGGTGCAGAACCCAGAAAATTGATTGGCGTTCTATTGTCTTGCCGGCAGGTGCCTTTAGACCCAATACCTCCCCCATACATTCACAGGGTTTGCTGCCGAAAGGTAAATCATAGAAATACTAATATTAGGCTTAAGCCTGTCCATGCTGTATAAAAGAGCCTCTAAAATTGTCTCTTTCGCAGGACAATTCTTATTACAAAAGAATGGTTATTTGATATTGAGGCCTTATATACTCGTACATTCAATTCATGTTATGCGCGATGATGATCAGTGTTCATTGTGGTGATTTTTTGTAAAGTGAAAATATTGCTTTGGGGTGATTGCTAGCTCGTTTTAGTTGGCCGGATTATGTCATGTATGGGCGAAATAAAAAATGTACTTTCTCATTCTAAACATATTGCTTGCTATGTTGCAGTATTCCACACACATTGGGCATGTTCAGCAGAAACACCGCTGAGGGAGCAAATACATTTGATTGGTCATTTGATCGTTAATCTTGAAACAGTTGTGAGATTTGACCAATCAAATGTATTTGCTCCCTCAGCGGTGTTTCTGCTGAACATATCCATTGTCTTATGGAATAAATGATTGAATATTCAATTAGAAAATATCTTTTTTATCTGCTGAGGATGTATCAATTACTTAAGGAATAGAGAAAAATATGGTGATTATACACTTGTGAAAACATGGTAGAATGGGAATTGCCTTGCTTTTGCTTTTTGTACTTTATTTTAAAATTAACTTAAAACACTTGTATGCCTCCATTTAATACGTAACATTTTTTTTCTTCAAATACATCATTTTACCAAAAACTTTAGGGAAGCCTGTCTTATTTTGAACGAACATTTCGATGCTTATAGAATAATTGGCTTTCTGTAGTTTCATCTTTTAACTTCATCTAATTTAAAATCCTCGATATAACTGTTACAAAATTATTAAGCGCCGACTTACTCTCAATAAATACTTTCAAGAATGTTCTGCTTTTCAAGAGACGCGCTAGAATCTTATATATGCAAAATACTTAGATCGAATCGGCGGACAAAAAGCTGCGAGCCATCACGAAGTTCCTAGAAGAGCAAGGCGGTGAACGTGAAGCTGAACGTGAAGAAGCAGCCAGACAAATTCAAGCGCTTCAGGAACAAATAAAGGAGATGGAACGTGAAAAGGAAAGAGATCAACGCATCAGTACAGAGGTAACAATTTAATAAGGTATACAAGAAAACATGATTTTAATTAATACACAAATCGAGTATGCAAGTAACATAGTTACATTATATTTGTAACAATATATAGAATCTTCAAGTATAAATTGTAAATCTTGCAATTTAACACAAGGCATAAGGTTTGATATTAGTTGACTTTAACGAAAATAACAGATCGATGATATTGGAATACACCTCTTACACGTTAATTGTAGATTCGTTTTGCATACTCTCTTTTAATGGACTGGATATTACCTTTAAAGAAGAAATACTTTTGTATATATTGTAGCAGGATTGTACCGTAACTTTGGAAATATTAATATCACAAGATGGAATATTACTGTTGAACCATTCATTGAAATGAACGTACAAGTACAATAGATGCACATATATTTCCAATGTTATGGTCGCACCTGTACATCTGGTTATCTCGGTGGCTTAACAATAATAGAAATTTGGTGTCAGATTTTCTAAAGAGGATATTGTTAATTCTGCTAGGAAAGCTTATAACACGCATCACTTCACGCTAGTCTTATTAACCCACGTTTTCTCTGCACTGTGGTTTTGGTTTTCTGTTTGTTGCACAAAGCAGTCTTCTACGCTATCGCCTCTACCGACCCCGCTCGCCCTTGCAGTGCTTGGGCCAACTGACATCGCTGCAACTGTGAGTGCAACAACTATGTAAAATCTTAACTATCCCGGCAAAGAAGCATTGGCATCAGATGAAAGCAAACTGCAAGCTTATATTTTATGTTTATGTTGTATAAATATTCTCACAATTAACTTTACAAAAGCTGATTGTATAAGAACAGTTTAATGTACTATTGACTAATTTACAATGTGATGCATTGATAGATACATTAGATTTTTAATAATGCTGAAAATTGATTCACAGTTTTCAGTTACCAACCGATAGACAGTGTAAGAAAAATTAAGGTTTTCAATAGTCTTGTTTTTCTTTCTGTGCTTTCTGTGTCGTCCGATGCTTCTTCGTAAATGATCACGTGCCACTTTCTGTAAATATCACTGGGTCGAGAATATCGTAGTTACGCGAAATACAGGTGGAGGCCCTTGAATCCCAGATGCGCGAGATGTCATCCCTGATGATGGATGCTGAGACGAAGAAATCGGAGATTGAGACCGAGCTGAAAGATGCTGTAGACAAGATCTGTGATTTGAGGGACATAATTGCTGATCTGGAGCAACAGTTGCAGTTGAAGCACAAGGCTGAAAATATATTCAGAAGTAAAATCGAGCAGCTAGAAGGCGTTGTCGCTGCGCAAACTAGAAATCAGCAAGAATTGGCGCAGGAATTGGATGCAGTAAACATGGGGAGTGAGAGCAATAAGCTCACTGAACATATCGCGCGGTTAGAGGTATTGCTTCATTATGAATGATACATATAAATTATGGTTCCTCTATTTTTCTTTGTTAGAAAAATTGTGTAATAATCGTCAATGTTTATCTAACTCTTTTAGGATGAGTTGCAAAAGCACAAGCTTAGCTCTGAACACTTTGAAGGTAACTCGTCTGCTCTGAAGCAAATGAAAACGGAACTGCGCGAGATGCAGCTGCAATTGGACCGACGTATACGAGACCTAGAGGCATTGCACATATGCGGTTCTAGTCTTAGTCTTAGTCAACCAAGCGAAGACGTTTCTATCAGAGAACAGATAGATGCTTCTCGTTGTCCAACTCCAGATGATCCACACGCCCCACCTACCTTACCGCTAGATCAACTTTTGAAACTTAAGGAAAAAATGGTGAAACACGCCAGGGTTGAAGAAGTTGCCTTTAAGCGTATCAAGGATCTTGAAATGCATCTAACTGCATTGAAGAATCAAAACGAGGTAATGTGTTTTAATAATCTACATGAAAAGATTTCGAGTGAAGTTTAATTGGTGTATCATTAGATTTACATACCATTGGAATATTTTTTATATTGTTGATTGACTTGCGTTCACAGGAATTGCAAGCGGAGCAAGAGATTTTGCAGCAGACAGCATCAGAACAATTATTTCAGATCGAAGCCATGCGTGGTCGTTTGGAGCAACAAAAGCAAAGTGCTCCATTTGCACAAAGACAAGCTACATCCAGATTGGAGTTGCAGCTACATGAGCTCAATACCAAATTAAATGCTTTAGAACGAACTGTTTCTGATAAAGATCTCGAGGTACAATTATCTTCTGTATATTTTCCTAAATTATTTTAACACTCTTAGAATATATATGCAACTAATCTTCATTGCGTCTGTGATCAGATAAAAGATGTGAAGAGCCAGTTAGACAGAGCTAATAGATTATTAACGGAGAAGGAAGCCGAAATGGCAAGTGCTGTCCATACTGAAAATAATGCTTTTCAAAAACTGAAGGATTATATTGCAATCCTTGAAGAAGAAAAGAAAGTCCTTGAGGTACTCTTCTTATTACTCCACGCCACATATTCTTTTGGAATAAACTAAAATATTTTTTACTCCTAATAAAATTATTATTCATTGTTACAGTCCAAGTTGGGAATACAAGAACGCACTCAGCATGACTTAAGACAGCTGATAGACTCAATGGTAGGGGACAAGAACGAAGAGATCGATCATCTCAAGGAGCAACTGATGAAACGCGAACGTGTATTAGAACCATACTTAGCGTTAAACCTAGACGAAAGTCAGCTACGAGAACTGATACGTCAAGCTGAACCTAAGAATAGCGCTCGAACCCTGAGCGACATCCTTTCTATTCATTCAGAATGCGAGGACCTTCCTGATCCAATTAGAGAAACTCCTAATCATACATCAGGACTCAATGTGTCCAGTTTTCGTACAGCCCTTCCATTGGATCATCTCAAAGAACCTGCAGAGCAATCACCAAATGTCTGTATAACAATACCACAACTGGAGCTTGGCTCTCAGAGTTCGTCTAGTTCATCACATGGAAAATCACCAGAACAAAGCGAATCCCATCCGATTCAAGCATTAAGTCCTATGATCCTGGAAGAGTCGAATCCCAAGGATCGGACCTCGGAAGCCATTCAACGTTCTAACAATGAGTTACTTGAACGGCAAATTCGTCAATTAGAAAATCAGTTGTCTAACATGAAGGACGAACTCAATCTGAAATCTTCTAATTTGGCGCGACGGGAGGCTGAATTGAATACAGTACAGCAGGAACTTGATGAATTGAGAATTGAACTTAAGGACACGATTGAGTCTCTGAATCGGGATAAACTCTTCTATAAAAATCAATACGAGCTAAGTCAAGTTTCTGAAAGTAAAATCAAAAAAGATCTTCTACAGGTTGAAAATACTCTGAAGCTTAAAGATGATGAGGTCAAAGAGTACAAGAGTAAAATTCAAATGAACGAGAAGATTTTGATGGAACTGAATGCTGAAAATTCTCGACTGAAAAATGAAATTGATGAAATAAGAGAGAAGAATATAAAACGGCTGGAGATCAATCTCCAGGAAAAAGAGGTGGAACTGAAAAATCTTAAAGAAATCGCGTTCGAAAAGGATATTACCATTGAAACTATTCAGACTCGTAATGCAGAAATCGAAAATGAAAATAAGCAATTGTTTGAGTTTAAATCGAATTATGAACAGTGCCGACGTGAATTCGCTGAGTGTCAGAATGAGATTCAGAGACTCACTGAAGGATTGAATAATCGCGACCAGATCATCCGAAGACTTGAAGAAATGGCTAGAAGGTCCAGCTTCTCCGGGGCGTCTTCACCTAGTGAATGTAAGGATCAAGAGATTCATCATTTGCAGGAATACCTTAAGGAGAAGGATAAGGTCATTCGACAGATGAGCGATGACAGTAAGAGTTTACATCGTGCATTAGAGACTATACAGAATAAGATGAAGGAATCTGGGAATGTTGTAGAACTACGAAAGAAATTGAAGGATGAAAGAAGAATTAACACGGAATTGAAAGAAATAGTTGACAAAATGCAGATTGAATTGAAATTTCTACTCAGAGACGAATCGATCCGTAAGTATTTCCATAAAAATAATAATACAAATCGATAGAACAAATATAATTCATATAATTACGTTTAAAGAATCAGAAGAGGAGGTCAACATTGAGGATATGGTACAACGAGAATTGAACCTATCAGCTCGACTTGATCAGCAAATATTGGAAGCTATTGAAAGCGAACCTGAAGAAGGTACTGGCAGAAAAATTGAAAAGCACTCCTGCAATTCATTAGACATTCAACCTACGAATTCAGATAAACAGGAGAGATTTTTGTACCGATACGGAGAATTGAAAAGTAAATTGAAACAAGCGACAAAAGTCAATGAAGAATTGATAAAACTTAAGGATGATCTTGAGATTGAGCGCGAGATGCTACGTTCACAAATTACTGAATACGAGAATCGCATATTGCAAATCAAGTATGTCAACTTTTGAAACAGCTTCAAACATTCTTTAAACTTATACATTACTTAACTATACTTAATTTTCGAATCTTCAGGTCCCATCTAGACGAAGAAAGTAACAAAGTAGCGTCTTTGGATGAAGCGCTCTCAGCTGAAAGACAAACAGTGCGAGATTTGAAGCTTCAAATTCAAAAAGATCAACATTCTATGGAAATAGCTCATATAAAAGATTCTGAATTGATATCAGTAAGTATTATTACAATATCCATTACTTTATAAATTAACAGCAGATGATTATTTTTAACTAAATTCTATTTTACAGATGTTGAGAATAAAACTTTCATCTTCAATTGACGCTGAGGAGAAGCTACGAAAAGATTTGAACGAAATGCGTTACGAACACAAAAGTCTTGAAACCCAGTTGACGGCAATCAGAGAACAAATAAATTCTCAGCGTGTCCATGAGACGACAGCAGGACTTGAAGAACTCTTGGCGACCGAGCAGAAGAAATATATAAAACTTGCAGAAGAGTACGAGCAGGTGCAGCGAAAGAATGTAGAGCTTCGTGATACACTGAGGAAAATTGAAAATGAAAAGTCACGATATGAAAAGCAATTAGAAATGTTTATGGAGGAGAAGGAGAAAATGATAAGCAGCTTGACATTGGCTGAAGGTACTAAGGAATTCTTGAGCACAGATTTGAGGAGGACTAAGGAAGAATTAAGAGCACGTGAAGAAGAGTGCGAATGGCTTCAGCAAAGAATAAGTACCATGTCCAACGCAGAGAATAAAAGACAGCAACAAAGATCAGACGATCATAATGAATTAAAGAGTCTTCGTCGAGCGATTACCAGTACTCGAGAAGTCATGGTTGGTATTAATGATTAAATAATTGAATACTACGAATTATTATTTTTAAAGAATAAACTACATTAAATTTCTATATTGATTTACAGCATGATCTGGAATCTGATATGAAGCAATCTAAAAAAGAACTACAAAAATCATTAGAAAATCAAGCTCAACTCACTAAACGTATAGAGTCTTTAACTGAAAATGAGATTCAGCTTAATAAACAGCTTAATGCAGCACGGTTGGAAGAGAAAAGACTTAACGAAGTAATAGCTGATATGCAAAATGATTTACAGTTGAGCGTAAAGAGAGAAGTAGAACTTACTGAAGAGTTGCAAAGGGAAAGGATATCTAGCCAGAAAAAAGTACCTTCTCAGTTCGTTCAAAAGATAGAGGCAAGAAAGAGGAATTATCAAACATACTTGTTCGTACTAATTCAATTTTTTAAATTCTGTTTATTTTTCGTAGGAGTTAAATGACAGCATTGAAAGGCATTCACGAGTTGAAAGTATGCTTCAGGAGAAGTTAGCCAAGGCTAGAGAAGAGAAGGAACAATTTGCAAGTCGTATCAGATTACTAGAAAATAAGTTGGTACAAAGAAGTAAAGAATCTACAAGTGGCATAAACTCTGATTTGGCCGAGAAGGTAAACTTTATAAATAGTTATAAGTCTGAAGTTCATTTTTTCGTATTTTTGTATACACATAAAAATATCACTCATAATGGGATAATATTATCTAATCCCTTACAATTGCATTAGCTTTATTTGATTAAATAAACGCTGCCACATTTTTTTGTTCTTTTACTAGATTCAACACTTCTATGGCAAATACCTGCGTGTGGATAGCCGACGCAAAGCTCTAGTTTATCAGAAGCGTTACTTGCTCTGCATAGTGGGCGGTTATCAAATTTCAGAAGCCAATACACTATCGGTGCTTGCACAACTTACTCAAAGTCAGAAATTCTGTATAAAAACGAGTGATAATCGGAAGAGCCCTAAAGTTCGTTTCCGTAGTGCTATACTCGTTGTTATCAGTATTCATCGCATGAAGTGGATGATTCTCAGATGGAGAACCGGAAGACGAGTCGGAGCGAATGCTGTTCTTGGTAATCCGGATCAGTCTTTCGTTCCCCTGAGAACTGCCAGCTTTAATCATTCACCGCCTGTTCGAGAACGAGCTACTATTAAGTAAGTATATTCTTTATTCATTTATCCTTTAGCATTATACGAACAGTACACACGACTCAAAGCAATGCGATTGTTGTAGAAGAATTCTTAATTTATTTTCAATAAAAGATTGCTCAATAAATTTATGTCGTTTAAAAATATTGCGGGTTGAGTTAGGCAGTAATATGTTTTACAATTCTTTGTTACAGTGGCGATGGAAATTTTGGGAAAATTGAATTGGAACAATATTTGCAAAGATTCACGAATATTCAGCAAACACTTGGTCTAGCAATGTCGGAAGCTGGAGCAAGTCGTCCGTCTAATACAAGGACTCAGGTGACTTCGCATCGTAATAGGTCACCTCAAATTCAATTAGATGATAAAAAGTCGATCGATAGCCTTGATAATTGTTTCTATTAAAAAATATATATATACAGTCATCTTTCAAGATGGTCTGTGTGGGATTGCCGTTTTCATTTGCATTGCGAATGGAAATAATTTGAAACTGGGCATTTCGAATAGACTGAGATTTTATGTAGACTTTTATTTTTTATTGTATTTCACTATTACTTCTCTCGTAGGACTCGTTCAAGCATTGTATATAAGTTTGTATCATATAACAGTGTAAGATAATTCCTATTTTTATTAAGATTTAAGGAGCTAATTGTGTCTTCTGAAACGAAAGCTCAACCATTCAATAGTATTTCGTTTATCCTATTCATTGTTTTATGTGAATTGTGGACGCAACATGACCAAAGTTTTGCGACATTTTTTTTAGATTTATTTAGTATGAAATTATAAACCAGTGATGAGAATGTTGTGCCTTATAAAATGTAACTCTGATATTTATTGTATTGTATGGATTGTATTTTTTTTATATTGTCAATAAAACTTTATTCATCACTTAAAAAAGATTGGGAATATGGAAACAGTGATAATATTGATAAATTCATAAAATTAACGGTATTTTAATGCAATCGTAGACATCTTTACAGTAAAACAGAACTTGCCATTTTACATTCAGTAGATAACAAGCGTAGCTCTATACATTTCTCTATAACTGCAATAAAAATGTATGCCAACAGTAGAATAGTACTATAATTGGAGTATTTGTCAGAATTAAATTCTTCGTGTTTATTCGAGTTCATTAGATTGTCAAGAAAATAATATTTGAAAATTTATTCCCAGAGACGGGGGTAAAGATCTGACTTCTTTTGTGAAATATTAAAAACTTTCGTACTAATTACATTACAAACTACATGTCTGTAACCTATTCAGACTATATTAAAATTAAATGGCCATACAAACAGTTGAAAAATATTTTACAGCAAAGTCTCATCCAAATATCACTATTCTAATAACCAGTCATACTACTAGTTATAAATTATTGTAAAAAATGATAATCTAGCAAATTTTTACGAAGGGAATATGTGAGCAAAGAACATTACCGTCTTGACAAACTAACAATTGCAGAAGTAGTTAATAACAGGATGTTGTGCGATTATTTGTCATAACGAAATCCTACTTTGCTATTCGCATATACTTGATATTATTTACATATATACATAAAATTGTATGATAAAATATATAGTGGCCATCTAGAGCTACGTTATCTCAGTGTTATGAAATCGCTACATGCTAACAGCTTCTTACAAATAATCTACTTTCTTAAGGCTGCCCCGGATAGACTTTAGAACTCATCCAATTTGGGATTCTTACCCAGGATACTAATACACAGTACACGTCAATTATAATTTAAATTGATTTCTACATGGGAAACTAATTCATTGTGTATTACTGAGTCATGAGATGAATTAAAGTATTCAAAATGACAAACGATTATGTATAACTTATGTGCATCAAGTGTTATAAATTGACTAAAAGTGACATACTGAATTAAAGAGAATATTATTTTTCTTTCTTTCTTTTCAGACTTATAATTAATCTTTTAAATCTTATGTCGCAACATTGTTTTCTCTTTGAAATATTTTACTGTGTAGCAGTGCCTGTCCTTTCAATTGCTCGAGATTTTCCAAACGATAAATAACTAACTGCAGTGAGGAAGTTCGTTAGTCTTTTTTGAAGATGACACAAGCACGGGGCTCTCCTCACTACATATATTAATATTTTCTCGGGACTTATGACTTTTCATTATTTTTTTCAGAGATATCAAGGAATTCTTTTGAGATGAAAAACTCAATTCCTTTTAATCTGCCAATATCCGAGCTCCGATCACTCATACGAATGTGAAAGGTTGAAAATTTAATTTATTTTCCAACTATGAAAGATCGAAGCCCTAGCACGGCTTGAAAGAAAAATTCTCTGCTAACACACCGACGAGCTAGCCTTGTCTATGAATAGAACAGGCGTCCTTGAAGTTGGTGGCATTAAATGGCACAAAATAGTCGTCATGAAGTTGCCTGACAATTGCCTCAATGGGACAAAGCTTTGACTCCTTGCGTGTTTTCTCGCCGTCATCGTGATCAAAGAAGTTGACATTATAGAGACTGGTATTACGACAAAATGGTATCTTCTGGGTGAAATCCTTGCCATTGACGACGACGCGAAAATAGAAATCGCTGGCTACGTGTGTCTCTGACTTTGGATTGATTCGATAAACCTCAATGACGAAGCGCGAAGCATAATGTGGAACGGCTGCCTGCTCAGAAAGAATTCCAAGAGCAGTCGCCAAGTATTCCAACGTCTTGTCATGACCAGAATACAGAACAATCTTTGGTTTGGCTTCAGAAATCATACGCAACATGTAGGATACGATGCTACGTAATAAACCATATGCTCGTAGCAAACCATACTTCCGACGATTATGACTTTTAGCATGTTGACGCGCTTCCCATTCTGTGTATGCAAATAATCCTGTAACATGTTCCGTTTTGACACAGAGCCGCTGAGTCTCGGTATCTATACATGGTAAGGACGCCCCGTGACAGACGTAGGTCAATAAAGCATCTCTTAGTGTGTTGGAGTCCGTCGTCTGGGCCTGGTCTGGCATCTCAAAGACTATATTGGAAGCTTGCTTTATTAGATCTGCTACAGCCGGGTGCGACTTCAGGTGGTCTCCAAGCTCCTGCGTAAACGCAAAAAGAATTCGAAGTAATGTTATTCAAGAGCTATAAAGATTCTTTTGATCTTGATGCATTAAATTTTACCTTGGAATATTGTTTGTGATATTTCTCAGCAGCTGGACAAGCACAATCCGTATTACAAAAAGCATAACTCTGCGTCTCACGCAGGCTGATTTTTGCTAAATTTTGAAATCCATCGTTCTCGACGAATGCGTACAGTAGCGCCACAGCACTTTGCACAGTCCTTCTGTATCGTGTACTGTAGACAACAACGTCCTTTGAATTTATGGTACCGTTTCCCAAATTGAGTCTGTGAAAATAAGCGTTACGTAGGAGTAGTCCTGTCTTGAGTAACTGTGATACGCCCAACATGGTCAGTTGTGCCAGTTTGCAATCCCTGGCGGTAGCTGGCAGCATTGGAAATCCATGGAACGGTCCCAAAAATTGGGCCCACCCGGTGCGCCAATTAGAAGATGCATTTTGCAGGAAATTTTGATAACCCTGATAGACATTATCCAATTCCGAGGACGACGTAAAGTCGCCAGCACAATTTATTGTACTGATATTTCGCACGTGGGCTAGGGGACCTCTGTCGCCGTGCCTGACGAAGATGAGGATTCCGGTAAGCGTTATATTTCCATCAGCTTTTCCTTCAGCAGATATGAAAAAGATATGATTTTTTATTTTATGATTTTAAAAACAACACGTGAACAATCGTGAGAATCACCTACCCTCGGTTCCAGGTAAAATGTTACTAGGTGAATTACAAAAACGAAATATTCGTTTAGTTTTAACATCTGGTTTCAGGTTGCGTGGAAATTCTCTAATTGATAATTCACTTCCGGGCGGGCGTCCCTGTGTTGCGCTTTTGTCATCCACACCAATGTATTTGTACATTCCTAAAACATAAAAATTTAATAATATAATAATTTTATTTTAATCATAACAAAAATCATCCAACAATAATTAAAAATTACTCTTGAATGTCTTAAAGAGATCATACTTTCCTACTTCTCACCCTGTAGTATTCTAATTAAATAAAACATGACAACCATCTTTCTTAAAAACCCAAGTACCAATTAATAAGAAACTAAAATAAAAAATAATCATATGTACATAAAAAAATACGGTCCTCGATCAAATCCAAATATATATTATATTAATTCACAAAAAGATAAAAAAAATTTTAATGCTTTCAGAAAGAAAGTCACGAAGTAGTTCACGATAAAAATAAAATATTAAAATGCAATGTCAAGTCGTTACCAGCAACCAGAAGGAAAATCCAAACGCTGAGGATAACGTAACAATAAAACGCTCGATGCTGATAAGAAAGTCGAACCATCTCTGAGAGCATCGTGGCGTTCCTTGGGCTGTGTAAGTCGCTTGACGTAATTCACGTGTTTCTTTTCGTAAACGCTGGAGATAACAGCAGTTCGTACTCCAACGGAATCCGATCCTCGAGTCGAACATTCTTGTTTCACGTGCCTGCAGCCACGTTTACTCGTAGCATCGCTACTCCAAGCGTATTGCCTTTGTCTCCCTGCGATGGCAGTTTTCAATTTCGAACGAGCGACGTTTATTCTGTTTTTGTCTATCTATATACTTTTTGTATTTTGGCACGCAACGGAAGCACGTCTTAGAAGACTGTCCAGTGTGCTTAACGAGGATCCTGATCGTTTTCGTAGTTTCCTGAATACAAGGCTAGGTTATGTAAGCGCAAGCGCCTAGGTCACTCCCTGTCTCCGGTATAGACTATGCCGATGTTATATACTCTGCTGTTTTTCTCTTGCGCATCCTGCAATCCGGCGCATGGCCTAAGGCTTATTTACCTTTTACGCAAGTCTCGCGGGTTCTTACGAATCTAATTGGTTACGATTTTCCCTTGGGTTATCGCGAAAATTTTATCACTCGAGCCAAACGCTATTTTATGGACGAATATATTTATACGCGTGGCTTTCACTGTGGTTCTCAGACTTAGAAAATTCTTCTAGTATTTTAATGAAATTTTCATGGGATTTTTATATATAACTTTACTATAGACAAGTGTACATTATTTTTAATGATACTTCTAGATTTGCGCAATGTCCTGTTGTAATTTAAAAAACTCCGGTAGTAATAATTAAGCTATTTTTATATTTTCTATAGGAGATTTCTATTTGTCATATTTTCATGATTTCTAATATATTCAGGAAGTTATATTATATGAAAGCTGAACTCCATGAACTAGTGAGATGCAGCAACTGGTGTGATCGCGTATGACTTTGTTTTCATCGGTGTCGAATGAGAGTTGAAATACGTTCATTGAATACTTATAGTTTACTGATATATGTATATATACAAAATGTACGTACAAATTATTCCTCTTTATCTACTCGATAAGGCGATTCGTATATTAGATAAAATACGATAAACAATAAATTTAGTAGTAGTTCCCCGCATATCATTAGACACCCTCCGGGTAACCATATTTGTTCCAATATGTCCAAAATATGTGTAAAAACTTTGGATATGCAAAAGAATACATTTCATGTATGCTGTATGTGCTATAGATATGTCAAAATGTCCAGTTAGGTTTTCAATCCAGTGAAATGAATGTATGTAACATTACTGTAACGTTGTATGGATATAAAAGTGCTACTTAAGGTTATATTAACGTTATACAGTATATTTACATAATATTTAAAGATCAAATTTTTTTTTTCAAATATACTTGCTACATATTTGTGTATTTTTTTCAATCACCAAATTGACGGGTGCAGACATTTGAAATTGGTAAGAGTCTCTAAATCCTCAACCTATAATCCTACAAGCCAGTGCCTTACGAGCCTTTTTTCTTTCCACTATTAGAGAATTTAGATACATCCCATATAAACGTATACCATCACTCAGCGACTGACATTTATCGACAAAATGTGCTTCGCCGAGAAAATTGGAATTTCTCATATCTTTCGGAAAAGCAAGAAGAAATATGTAGGATGATTCTAAACGAGTATCGGAACGTTGAAAAATTGCATAGACAATATAAAAAAGGTTGTGACACATTATACAACGATTATAAAAATTTCACATACATATATCCAATTTCAATATATTCTATTTCAATATTAATTTAATCATGTGACGTCATACTCGAATATCTCGTGACGATCGCAATTATTCGTGACTTATGTTTCCAATAAGACCGTTTCTCAAAATACGACACTGATCAGACATCAATCGACACCACGAGGGTCCCATTACAATTCCCTGAACAGAAAATAAATTATAACGTGCTGCGTTTCTTGAAAATTTTTTCCAGCTTCGGCGTAATTAGGTAAAAGAAAAACAATTATGAATTTTGCTACTCAACTACGAAGGAGCCTCTTTGTGCATTGTTCTATTGCCTGGAAAGTTTTATGCGGAAGGATTAAAGGGTTAGCTATATATTTAAGTTTAATATCATCAAGGAAGATCGTTAGGCTAGAGACGCGAAAGGATTCTTAGAATTCTGAGCCTCGAGCTACACTAAAATAACCCTTGCCAAATTCCCTTAAGAGGGGAATAGAACAGGGTATTGGTGTGTGTGAGTTGTCACATGAACGAGGTTGGAAGCGAAGAAACTTCGCACCCAAATCTCCTAATTGGCTATACGAGAGAAATTCCCAGTTATATCGTGTAAAGTTCATAAGTGTAGAACTTTCTCCGCAGATTCCTCTTTTTGTATTTTCGGCGATGGTTTTGTGCAACAGTGCGACAAGTATCGAACAGGGAACGACAAAGATATTGTTGGGTCGCCATGACAGATCCCTAAGCTGCCACTTTCGGGATTCAGTTATATTTTATATTTTTTTTGAGAAATAATTAAAAAATTTGACTTTGCGGGTAATGACGTTTTATTGAAAGAATTCAATTTTTTTTAATAAATTAATTAACTGTGCAGAGATTTTTGGGTGTCAAGTTTCCTCGCTTCCAGTCTCGTGCGTGTGATAACTAGCACATGCCGATACCCTGTACCATTTCCTCTCGAGCACTTTCTGTAACCCTTTTGGCATTTAGTATACTGCAATCCATCATCCGTGATAATTATTTTTTATTTCTTTCTTATATATAGTTCTATTGAATTTTTCGAAATCTCGTCGAAATGCTTCGAAATTTCAAATATCTTCTTTCTAGTCCCATTATGTTATTTTTCCTACAGGAAGGGCATTCTGTTTGGTGGTAATTATTACATGAAGAATTTTTTAAATAAATAATTCTGTTTTCGGAAATTATTTTTTTAGGTTCTTTCATTTTTTATTATCATTTGCATAAGCAATAACACTTTTTTTTATAGGTGATCGATAGTGAAAGGACATTACGTTTCTGAGTTAGGCTCGTTTTAATGGTATCGGTCAGTAATGGACCTTTTAAAGGGGCGCAGCGTCCTTCGTGACGTCGATGAAAAAAAAGAATAATACGCAAAAGCCCTGCCTTGACGAATATGTAGAAAAAGTTAATAATCGCGGTAAACGCATTTCTACTCTAAAAATAGTGGAAAATACGCGCTTTCTTTTTTACGCCCTTCAACAAAAAAAAATGGAGGGAACGAGTTGCTCCACGAGTGGCAATTCTACCGAATATTAACGGTGGTTTTAAACTTGAAATATTTTTTATTTTTATTTTTTTTCCCTTACCACTCACGTGACTCATACGTCATTGCACATGGTGTACACACATATCAATGTATATACTTTTCGCTAGACTAGACTGACCCTTATTAAGTATCCGCCCGTATGGAGGACCAAGAATTACAATATATACACACTACCCTCATTTCCCATATTATTGTTCAATGTCACACAACATATAGTTCAGTGTGAGAATAAAATATGGGTAAATAATTAACATTGAAAAAAAATTGGACTCGATATACTTTAATAAGAAACTTTTTTATTTCCTATATAAAAATTATAATCGTCACAATTATTGATTTTCAATTATTTTCTACCCTAGTTATTCATATATCAATCATTCTGTATATGTATATGCAAATCAAATTTAATATTGCTTTAATTACTGCTTATGGATGTATGAAAATCGTATTTTATACGAAACGTATAGGAAAGTTGGAATATGTAGAGGAACATATACTCGTCTCTGTATGATGATATTATTTTGTACGTGTATGGGGGAAGATCGTGAATTTCGTGTGGCGCGTTATGGGGTGACGCTTGCGCAACAATCCTCGCAGTCCTATATAAGGACATGGTACGTCCTGAAATGGTATTCACACTCGGCTTGCCGCGACCTTCCGGTGCAACCAAGTGCAGCTTAAAGTGCAGCTGAAAATTTTCCTGTAATTTGCCCATTTTTTGTTCTGGCAATTGACATGGCATCGCGAAGAGGTCGACTGGCCATTTTTTTAATTTACGTCGCCGCGGTCAATCAGTTGAAGTTACCATCGGTGAGTAGTGTATAAAATTGATTTCTTTTTTATTTTAAACTATTAAGAAAAATGTTGCACAAATTCAATCTGACCAACTAGTGTTATTAATATTTCGAATTTATGTATATACGCATTTACAATTCCGGACATTGATCTTCAAAACGTATTTTAACGTTGCCGCGAAACTTTGGTAAATTTTATTTGAAAGTTTACGAGATTTCCACTTTGCAATTCTCACCAAAGTATCTGTTCTTGTTTTACTTTTTTTTTTGTTTTATTTATTTCAGGATTTCACGCAAAGTTTTGCCTGACATTCTGTCATTTGGAGTTTCCACCTGTATAATATTGTATAGGGGGTGAGGATACCAATTGAAATTGTAATTTACATGAAATTTACATTTATAATACATAATCTTATTATATACACTCATTTCGTGTATCGGGTACATTATTTAACGTGTAATATCTGAAACAGATTAATTGAAATGATTAAAATGTGTCTTTCAAAAATTGATAATTTCAATTAATGCCCACATACGTATCTTCTCGTGCGTATTGAGCTATTGGAGTAATCAAGTTTTTTTCCTATTGTCTTCGCGTCAAGCATCTCTTTTCAGGCGTTAATTAAAAATTTAATTAAAACAGATTTTCATCGGTAACGTGGTACTGTTAATCATTTATTTTATAAAAGTTTCAGCGATGCTTATGAAATTAAATATTTTTTTTTGTTACACATCGTTTTGCCTCTGAAACCTATTTTGAACTTTTATGCTGTGTAGGTTCACGTTTTTGTCTTTTTTTTTGAATAATCCACTTAGTAGTCCGTTCTCGAAAAATACTTAAAATCATAGGAAATTTTAATTTTCCTTAATGTTATTTCAAAATCCTGTTGATTTTATTGTCTTATTTAATTCGAGATAAATTCTTTCACAAAACAATGTACAAAAATAAGCTCATCTGATCTAGAGCTTTGCCTTTCTTCGAACATCTTTCCTTTCTGGTATCCAATCACAGCAGATTAACTTCGATCAAGAGCGCCCGTCTGGTTCTTCCCAAGAGAATCAATTGTCCCTTATTCTGGATTTGTCTGCATTGAAAATCTGTACCAGGGACCTTAAGTCTCTTAAAGACAGATAAAAAACTGGTGGCTGTAAATTCAACAGAAATTTTTGTCGGTAACATCGAATAAAAAATATATCTTTATATGTATATATAATTAAATTACGTCATCGAGGTTATCGTTAAAAATTTCATAATGAGATTAATTAAATCAATGCATACAAATCGCGTGGTTATCGATGTTTTTCAAAATTCCAATAACTGTCTACGCGTTACTCGCAAGGGACAAAAATTTGATATTCCGTGGAATATGTTGGATACTCGAAAGACTATTTGCGTTTCAGACTAGAAGATCCACCACCATTTATTTTCGCGCAAATCTCGAAACTCCTTCTCCGCATTCCGTAGCTTATTACCGTGACAATCTCAGCTTATATACATCGAAAAAGAATCCGAGGTTACTTATTGATTTCTTTCACGGGCTTGAAAGACGTCCTTTATTAGATACGTTTAGGAAATTCCTCGTACATTTCCAAAATTTACTAACTGTCACTTCATTCCTTTTCAAATTGAAAGACGATTTTTCTTACTACTTTTTTTCATACTCTTTTTCATGCTATAGCTACGTACATTTATTGATAGTATGGCCAGCAGCAAATAGTTGGACCAAACTTTAGCATAGTCAAAATTCAAGAGCATTACGTACCACACGTCAAAGATACATCATTTGAAGGATCACGGGTACTTTACATTCCTAGAATGTTTCTTGCTGTTTCTATACATTGATTTTCATTTTTCTTTCCTAAATATTTCTATTACTAACATATTACATAACTATTACGTAAGTCCAGCTATTATTACTTAAACTGTGACAAGAATAAATTTTTTGTTTCTTCGGCTCTCAGTGGTAATGCAAATTTTCAATTTCGTTTCTTGTCTCACATAGTGAAAATATCCTGAGGATATTTCAGGGACATCTTATGGACGTACAGACGTCCAGCGGATGTCCCACGGACATCTTCTGCTACGTGGGTTCAGCAAAGACAAGCACTACCCGAGAAACTCTTCGAAATTGCTTATGGTGGACCTTGGTCAATATTGCTCTTTACGTAATAGTCGAAACGATGATATGTGTCGTTTAGATTAATTATTTAGAAAAGAGAAAAATAAATTGAAAAAAACGACGTTTTTAGGCAAACTAAGTGTAACAATATTACTGGTAGTAATTACGTAGGTCATAAATATATTTATGAAACTCGTAATGCATAATTAACGAATTTTTCAATTCTCACAATTCTAATTTTCTTTGGAAGATGCTGTATGACTGCAAATAACTCAGGAATAATTAGCAGCGTGAAACACGTATAATTGCTGCGATAAATTCATGAATATTAATAAATATACAATAAAATATCATAGCGAAGTATTGTATGACGTTTCATGTAATTATGCCTAGTTTTATTGAAATGGACCAAGCTGTGATATTTTTTTAAATCCATTTTTTTAACAATTTTTCGATTTGTTAAAAAATGAGATAATAGGATATTTTTCTTCAAAATGCTGCCTGTTGCTCGTAAAAATTGTATACATGGGCATACATACTATATAGTAGACAATTTGGTAGCCTTGAGGAGGATAAGGGCGAAAGTGCATTAGATGGCTGTAAGCAGTTTAATCCTTTAATGCCCTTTAACGTTAGAGGGTTGGTTAATGAATTTTGCAAGAAGATGCCAATCTGCGCTAAATTGTTGACTTTGTCAGCGTTAAGCCAAAGGCAATAAAGTTCATAGTTGATTCGAGTCTCATAGTCTGTTTAATTAAAAAAATTAGAGCAAATACAGCCCTTTTCGGTTTTTGTCATTTCTTTTGTACACGTATATCTCTTGTTAGTTTATATTTCGAACTCTTACGCGTTAGAAAAAGCTACGGACCAAAAATTCCAAAAATATCTCAATTTAATTTCAAATGCATGAATAAGAATAATTTTAAAAATTGGACACTGTATCATTATAAATTTCAGTACTTGAATTTCAGAAAATTTATATTGACCATTCTGTTGAAACAGACATTAAATTTATTTTTTCATTTTTGAACGCATTCAGAATATATACATACGAATTCGAATTCCTTCGTCCGCAAGAGGTCGTAGTCCCACGATACTTCCGGTTACTATCTTCGATCAGCAATTTCCTTTCGAGCAGTACAAACTCAAGATTAGAAGAAACTATTTACCGGTAGAGTTGAACTATTTATTTCTATATACTTTATGCAGAATGTGATTTCAAGGTGAAATTATTTTTTCCGAAAAAATATCAAAGTACACAATTCGGTTGAAAATATTCTGATTGTGCTATAAATTATTTACTATACTGTATTAATTCTCATTTCCTACGTTAAATGGATATATTAAACAAGGTACAGTCAAGTATAGGAAAAGTCATCTGAAAAATTCTACGGTAGTCCGTTATTATCATGTACTTTATGGGATTTCCTTTCCCAGCGTGTAGTTGAAGCCCCCGGGAATTTTTCCGGTAAATTGAACGTTGCTTTTTGGAAGTTGGTAAGAAAGGCTTGAGCTTTCAGCGAACAGAATACCAGACGCATTGTCGGACTCGACGAAGCCATAAGCCCCGAGGAAAATTTCGTCGACGGCTATTTTAATTAAGACAAGGAAGATAGTTGTGTACTATAGGAACTCGCCATTATTCTTTTTCATCTTTAGATACTCTGAAATTAATTTCGAAGATATTTCTTATTCACCTTGACAATATTACATAATAAATAGTGACGTTTACTATTCTTGGAAATATTAATTTTTGCCATATAATTTCACGGAATACAATCGATAATTATTTTACTTTTGTAATTAACCTAAGATACACAATATCCGTTATACTTAGGCGATGACGTAATGGCTTTATTTAATCAGGCATAAACTTTCATGACGTCCAAGAACAAGTTAAATTACGGTCAAGCGTTATCTGAATTAGCTTCAACAGGCAAATACCATCGTGATAGATTACTTGAGAATTTATGCAAGTAACCAGATTGTATTTTGTTGCAAATATTATAAAAATAATTTCGGTTTACGTAATCATTGTCAGAAATTTCATCATCGTGCGTAAAAAATTCCTTACGATAAGAACTTTACAAACACCTAGTGATGTTTTGTTCAAGTACAAGATTAAGTATGAGACAAAACTTTCTTTTCACTTAGCAAAAGCTTCTTTCGATTACATTTTCTATTTTTCTACAAGGACCCTTCGAGTCCACGCAAAAAGGACACAGCGTCCTGTTTCTCTTCCAGCTAAGTCAGCGAATCATAGAATTTCATTTTTGAACCACAAAAAAAGATCCTTATTTTCTCTGATATTGAAATATTATGTCCTTTTCTAGACCTCGCTTTCTTTTGCATAAGACTTTCACCTTGATTTGATATTTTATTTATAGAATTTTTTCCTCCAATAATTTATATCAACAACATATATCCTCGACATAAATTCCGTTCGGACAATGATTTATGATAATCTTTCTATTGTCTCGTAAGGATATTCATATTTTTGTCGGTCAAAAAGCTCGCATCATATATTTCACGAAGTCATTCCAGTGAACTTCAAAAAAAGGACAGCTTAGGCCTGATCGCACAGAAGAAAGAGGCTTTATCTTGAAACGACCTTTATTCTCCTTCTGAAATCTTCGGTGATTTTACAGAAATCGTTACGCATCCTCAGAAAGTGAAACACGAGTTTACATAAAGGTGGCAATGCAAATAAATATTTTATTTCCAATATTACTCTTGCGTTTATCTGCGTATTACAAGAAGCTTACATTTTGCTATCAGATTTACGTTCCCATTTATAGTCCCGTATATGTATAATATCGGTTTACGTCGATGCAAATAATTACAAAAAGGGATTTACATTAATCAGACCATGCTCGACACTACCTACGTCAAATATAATATTTTTTAAATACTCGAATGATTCCTAATGGTTTTTACAGATATCACATAAGCCTATATTATATGTATAGGTATACACGTATATATTGTGTATAAATATACACACGTGGTAGTTCAGCAGACCTCTGATTTTTTAAATGAATGGTTTTAATCTTTATTCGATCACCCTATAACGTCACACATCCCCATTAAGTCATATCGGATGATTTGTCGTTCAGTAAAAATTGATATGATTCTAGAAACGAGTTTCACATGATCATTCCTCATGATTCATAAATCATACGGTTGATCTAAAAGGGGCATCTCGTGTTTGTCCTCGTGTAAATATCTCTCGGTGACTTGCTATAATTTCCAGTAAAAAAAAATAAATTAAACATACCTTGCATATACCTACGACCAATGCTTCAATTTCTTCAAAACTGAACAAAATTAACTTCAAAGTGTCTAAATGAGCGCCAAAGTCACAAAGCACAGAAATTAGTCTGTGCCAATACAAGATCTTAGCAAGGTCGAATTGAATTTTCGCCTCTAATCAGCCTACTGCTAGATCTTAATTGAGTCGTAACCGTATTTTGAGCGAAGCTTTAATGGACTCGAGTGAAACTCAGTGAGATTTCACTTGCAAGCAGTTTGTTTTATTAGGGCTTAATTAAAGCGTTATTAATACTTGACATGATGCAGTATCAAGGCTAGATTACCTAACGAGTATTCCTGTCAGAATTTGTCCTCTTCTCTCCTCTTATAGTCTATTGTTATCCGAAACTATAAGTTGCATTAGTTATCGTTTAGTACACTTGGTTATTATTTCACGTGGTACTTACTTTTGCATTGTAAATAAATTTCATGAATTTCAAAATATCCTTAAAGGCATTAGTTATCCTTCGACGTACCAAACTTCGCCCACAATACGAAATGCCTTCAAAGGTATCAGAGACTTTAGTAGTTATACGAGAGCTTATGGAAACCTCGTAATAATTCGAATATCAAGTGGCTGTCGAAGCAGTTTACTTGCACTACGGTTGGCAAGACTGTGGTAAAGGTTTCAAAGATACTCAAAGGCTTATTGCTGTTCTTGGTCTTTTCTGGTGTAATAACAGTAGATAGTTGCCATAACCTAGAAATCTCAAGAGTATTAGAATCGCCTTGGTCATTTCTCCGATTCGGTATAACGATTTTTTGGCTTGGATATATATTACAGTCAAGAGAACAAATTACTTCGTATTCCTCTATATTTGCAGGAATTTTTATGCCTTTGAATATAATACGTGTTATGTATAATACTTCCGTTGGATACTATGCCTGAATATTCCTCGGACATATTTTTCTAAATATTTCAGCAGGAATGTCGCACTCTCTTAAAAAATTGAATTACGTCTACGGAATATAATTTCCAGGTTGACGCGAATATGGAATTCCTGAAATTCTTTGAAGAATCTTTAAGGAATCGAGGTACCGGCGCTGCGTCTGTTTCGGAAAGAAATTCTGACGTTGACAAGAAAAACAAAATCCAATAGCTTCGATATATTATTTTTTAAAGATAAATTCCGAAATTAAGTGAAACAACGAAATCATTTTTTTTACATAATATTGAGGGGAGATTACGATTTCCGGAGCCCCAAGTTTTGACTGTGGATATAGTATCTCTGAACTGAGAGAAACAAAAGTTAAAGAATAGTAAAATTTCATATCTGCATTATTTTGGGAGATATGATTTATTTAAATTCCAATTAAAAAATCGTTGCCAATTCAGATTTTATGACATTTTTTATTTCTTAAAAAATAATGATGAACGCAATAGACGGAATAGTGTTTTATTCATGTATGACCTAACAATGGACCGCCTTATGTGATGGGCCACACAGAGTTTCGTGACATCCTGTGATTCTGACGGTGTCTTAGTTAACAAGAATCGTCGTAACCGACTAATCTTCCTAATCGTCGAACCGACCTAAGATTCTTTACTTTGCGTGATGGACCACACAGAGTTTTGTGACGTGTAGTGAACCTGATGGTCTTCTTGACAAAAAGACCTTTATTCAACAATTTTTGTATCTCGAAAAATAATGACAATATCGATTGTTACCATACGTGAGTTTGGTGCAGCTCGATCCATAGATGTTAAACATATAGTTAAACTATTGCTTCGGTCACAATTATTATCTACAATCAATATATACGATTTATTTACCAAAAAAGTTTGATATCTCCCAAAATAATATAAATATCAACTTTTATCACTCTTGCACTCTTATTCACCTTTATTCATAGATATTAAATCCAGCGTCAAAACTTGGGGTTCCGGAAACCGTAATCTTGCCAATATTGATTTTTTGAAATCTACGACTTCACACTTAACCGTATTATTTCGCTAAATTTTTCACGATATTAACTAATTATTGTTGTTGCTGCTCAAATGACGCAAGTGGCAAATTCCTTGGCAATAAAGTTATTTCCGATATAGCGCACGTGTATTATGGCGCGTTCACAATGCCACCATTGATTAGTGCAAAGTTTCTCCGCTCTGCGCTGTATATTGAACTTTGATTTACGAGCCGTTGTAGCGTTAACTGACCATTTCACGTGGAAAATAAAACGCAATCTAGGCGACCCTAAAATATGAAAATCAGTGAAGGAATCCAGTTTAAAAAGCACTATTCAATTCACTTAAGAATTTTTCCTATTAAAGACCCCCATTAATTCCACGATAAGGTTAAGTTTCATGTAACAAATCAGGCGAAAGTCTGATAATATTCAGAGTGCAGAAGAAAGAAAATAAAATGGAACAGGAGAAAAGTTCTCTCATGCGTATGCACTGTCATTTCACCTGTCAATAACAAAATTAATCTCAACCATACGATATTAAATCTTCCCGGTTTCAATTCTTTTGCGTGAAGCGATCCCTGATGGATTGCTTTATTCGTAAAAAAAATAATCGATAGATGAAATATCTATTAAATATATATACCATACACGTTTCACAATTTCTAAATATATATTATCAATATAATTCAGTGAATATCAATGTCTAGCATATTACAATCTAATCACTATTTATACATCGTACCAGATTTAATCCTTCCAGGAAGTTGAACGAACACCTTACTGGATCAATGAATTTCCAGCAACCACTACTGCGAACTACTCCAGCATCTATTTGGTCGATTGGCTAGTAACTGCATAGGCAATGAATTTACAGGGACTGACTATTTCTAATCATTTCTAATTTAATGCTCGACACAACGAGCTCTGAAGTACCCAATATAAACGATATAAACTGATAGATCGACCGATCCTCTTATGGAATGAATTTGCACAACCGTTAACGTTAAATCCATTCACGGATTTGCATTTGCTCTGCCGTAGACAAACTCTCCTTTAATCAGCAGCGTCTAGTACACTCCTTCGTAATTAAGCATCCTCTGACATTGTCATTACAATCGCGAACGGACATACAACGTCCTCATCTACGTCCATGAAATGGCTAACGTATTTTTCAGGGACAAAAATCATTTCACGGCTGCCCAAAGTCCTTGCAGTTAAACGATGACAATTTAATTGACACGATTCAAATCTATTCCAATGTTCAATCAATTTCGACGCGTTACCAGCTTTTGCATTAATTCCTGATCGATGTCATTAATAACCTGCATATTCATGAAGCGTTCGAGACTTATTTTACATGCAAAATAAAATTATGAAACTCGGTATAGGAAACACATAAACCACAGGTGCGCTGTAAAATTTACGACCCGCCACGCACGACACCACCTACCGGGTGTTTTTTTTGGAAGGATGAAAGGATCCAGGAAAAAATAAAGAAGGAAGTTCCATATATTCCAAAGCTCCCTGGATTTGCATGTAATAGAATTATTTGCTATACAATTTTCATCCGAGCAGCTGAACGGCTGACTTTGGTCAACCGCTCAGCTAAAGCACGTTCAGTCAAAGCACGAAAGTCCCGAGCTTACGTTTAACAAATTTTAAAGTCGCGCGAATACTTTCTTGTTAAACCAATTATGAGTTTTCAGTACATTTTGATGCGCACGTGTGCAGTGCATCTACCGCGGTGCATATACTGTGCATAATTGTCAATATGGATGCACACGACTAGTACGTTCGACATGCATATCTCACTCAACGAATATTACAAACACGAAGCTCAGAACAGACGTTAGATAGACGAGAATGCAGTATCACTATCTTCCTATCAAATTCAATTGCATTTGACGATGCACAATGCACTGCGATCTTCTGAATGCAATGCGCGGAGACCGTCAGGATGCGTTAGGCACCTACCTATCTATGTACATGCCGTATTCGTATTGTCATATATATATATATATACATATATAGTTGATGTGAAATGCTGGGACTATGCTCGTAATTCGTAGCTAATGTCATCAACAGCCGTGCTGTTTCTATTATTTGGGAATCACAATGCATTTTCACCCTGTGATGCAACCGGGACTTGTTGCGGTTTTAAGGTACTCGTAGGAGACACCTTTAAACTCTGGTATTACGATTGTGGTTTGTACCGTTTGATCTGGGAACAGATGTTGACATTCTCTTACCTGATTTAATTGTCTTGTTGGTATTGATCCAGGGATGATTGAAGTAATAGGATTTTTGGTAATAATGTTTGTTGATTTAATTAGAGCTGTTTGAATTAATTTTTCTTTATTATTGTTTCAGGTCTCGTGTCAGGATGAGATAAGCCACTGTCTTCCTCGTAAAACATTTTTTGCTCTTCTTCGGCTACCAGAAGTCAGCTCGAATCTCGCAGCTTACTCTAGGAACGTTAGGATCATCCGGGATGATCTAGTCAGTTTGAAGAGTTTGAGCTCTGAGGAGGGTGACGAAGTTGCTGAAATATGTCTACCCGCTGGGGTTTATCTGGAGCTCTTCAGCGACCCTACTACAAGAGTACACCTTCGAACGCAGAAGATGTTGGAGGACCCTGCAGCTCGCGTGTACGATCCTGAGATACTCGACGTGGACGACCTGGTCTCCTCGAAACGTAGTATAGCGACTCTTGCTAAAAATGACGACCTACCTATTTCCATCAGGGGCAGGAATGAAGAGGATGACGAGGAGATCCGTACCATGGAGTCGAGACAGGAGCCTCTAGACTTACTCCTGGACACCTTTTTGGCCGGAGATCATAGAACGAAGAGTGAACTAGTACGAGATTATGGTCTACCGAATGGCGAATTTGATATGGAGTCTCTAGGTAGGGATTATCCTCATGGGAAACGTAACGTGGCTTCCCTAGCTAGGGATTTTGCACTACCTTCCGGCAAAAGGAACATCGCAGCCCTCGCTAGAGATTACAGTCTGCCTAATGGTAAGACGAACATCGGTAACCTGGTGAGAGAATACATAATACCAACTTCAGGAAAGAGGAACCTTGCTGCTTTGGCGAGACTTTACTCCTTGCCATCTTCCGGTAAGAGGAACGTTGCTGCCCTGGCTAGGGACTATGCTCTCCCCAACGGGAAGAGGTACCTAGGTTCTCTGGCTAGGTCTGGTGATCTGCAACTAAATGGACTTTACGAGGAGAAACGGAACGTTGGTAGCCTTGTAAGGAATGGTGATCTTGTACGCATGGGAAAGAGGAACGTCGGCACCCTGGCCAGAGACTGGAGTCTTCCTACTCAAAATAGATATGGAAGATCTTTGGATGCCAAGAAGACAAAGCTTGCTGATCGGTATGGATCGGTAAAACAGGAATTGATTAATCTTCAACGTCTGGGACACCAGGAAGACCAGGGTCGCAAGAATCTGGATGATAGAACAAAGGTCGGTAAGATTATGACAACTGCTACTGACAATAAGGCCCATACGGAGGCTAAAAACGACTCTCAGAAGATCGATGATGTAAAAAGGCCCAAAAGACAGATTGACTATTCGGATGAGTATCCTCTACCCGTTATGCAAAATACTAACGTTCTGGATTACGAGGAGATGATCGAAGCTCTTACTGGAGAGTACCCAAATACCGAAAAGAGGTTCATGGGTAAGTCGAACAGTCACTAGAAAGAGAATTTTGTCGAATTGTAATCAAGATATAAAAATAGCTTAGCGATACTAGCATTTAATCTTCACCCAAGTAACCAGATTCAACCCTAATAGTCTGAACTTTTTCAAGTCAATGGTCCCATTTAAACTTAGACAAAAAACAAGAAAAAGACGAAATTTATTCAAAATCCAATTGGCTTGCGATTGTTCCACTTAATTGTAACTGACAGGGACTGGTCCTGCGCTGGAGGTGCAGGACGACGATACTGACCAGGGGGGTTATTATGGAATAACCCACCCAAGTAAGAGACATATCGGGGCTCTGGCTCGTCTCGGCTGGCTTCCATCTTTCAGGGCCGCCCGATTTTCGCGCTCTCCGCGCTACCTGGTCGACAGGTCAGACCAGTAGGACCCCACTTCGTGTTCTCCACCTCTTCTTCCCGTTCGTGTGCTGTCGATGTATCTCTGTCCAAGTAGAAGTCTACCTACAAAAAAAATTAAAAAATCCATCACCTACAACCTACAATCATCCAATTTGTCAGCCGTATGCTTCAATTGTCTACTCGGAGACATCACGGTAGCTTGGTGTATGGATGTCTGGATATTGTATATTCGCTGTTAGATCACTGATCTTAGATCGGTGCTTAGGTCTTAGACGGCTCGAGATATATTACGTATAACATACATTAGCCTAACAGATTGAGAAATCATTAGAGTCAATCACGTCGTAGGTGTGGATGTCGTAGATGTCCTTTTGATATATTACATTTATATGCATATATACTATATGAATTGTTTTCTGTAATACCTGTTTGGGTTCAATGACTGTTTCAGAACCATCCAAGTATACAATCGCTTTTGATGATCATTAACCCCTTTAGTATTTAGCTTAATATCAGCAATCACAGTTCACTGGTTATCTTTATCCGATGGCTCTGAAAACGTCAAACAAAATATATCTATATGTATATTAGACTTTAAACAATGAACATACTAGACATTAATCTACTTCCAGAACCCTTCACTATAGCCAACTGCTATCAAGATCGTTGTATGCTTGCAAATTATTGATAATTAAATAATTATTATTGGTTCTGTAAGTGGATTATTGGTACGGCTAGTATACGTGTTTCGGAACTATGGTAAAAGATTTTTTTTCTTATCTTACGTCATATCGTTTGTCGTATTAGTAATCATCGCTGTGTGATGTCTGATCATTATATTTTCATAATGATTGATGATAACTGTTTTACAGGGAGGATCCCGCAGATGGGTCCACGTCCAACAACTCCCCCAACGCGTCGACTAGGACATTAAGTTTGAATCTTGGCACGAGAGGACGCTACCTGCAGTCACTTAACGGCGACTGCCGACATGGTTTCAAGCGATACTTTTTGTTACCGCGTATCGATAACTTCCTTCACCTTCGTAAGCTTCAAAACGTCCCCAAGAGCGCATAGGTCATCCTCGACACCGTCTATCTGTAACAACAATGAGTACAGTACTGAGAAAAACTTTTTCTCGCTAGCGGATAGAGTGTATTGGAATCAGCTGTTGAAAAAATTGCTTGTACATATATATTGACAAAGATGAATAATCGTTGAAAGAAAAATAGAAAAGGATGCTGAATGACAAATAACGAAAGACGTTTAAAGATTTTTCAAAAATCTTCCTGATCTATTCAATATTCAATCTCTCCGCTTTCTATAATCTTCTATGTCGACTCAATCTATCCGTCTTATACAATTTCGTCTTTGAAGATGGAAAACTTTTTAACAACTTTTTATTCGTAGATCCATTCACACGTACGTGGCTCTTTGCATAAGAGAAATTTTCTGAATTTTTATGAGTGTAACCGAATTTCAGTCAAATTCAAAATTCACTTATCCACCCTGTCGTTAGTATTATTTTAACTGAAATTATTAATATTGTGTGGTTAGGATAATTTGTTTTCATTGAAAAATGCTTTTCGCTAGACGTACGTGTCACCATCATTTATCTATACGATGTAGTATACATATATAGGTGCGTACTTAGACGCGTGTACTCCATATTTTTCCGTGAAAATTCAAGTGTCAAAATTTAATTTAAATAATTAGTGTCTCCTACTCATTCTTGTGGGAACAGACGGGACACTTTTTCCTCTAAATTATATTGTACTTAATGTATGTGACGTGTAGAAATAAAATACGCGTATTATCGACCGTAACACGTAAGGTGGCTGGGGCGATGATCTCGCTGTGGAAAGTTTTCACGCACGACACAAAGTCGGCTAAATAATTGCTGTGGATGACATATAACGAACGTACGAGTACTATCTAGCATGTAATATGTGTTTACATAGACAATAATCTGGGCAATCCGATGACAATAAAAGGATAATAATATTGAAGTATAATTAAACGAAGTTTATATATTTCACTACCCGTCATTGATGCCTTCTTCATAGTTTCAATAGAGTTTTTCCCATCTATGTGAACTGACTAGTTTCGGATCGGCAGTCGATTGAGACGCGAACCGATCTGTCTATTGAATATAGCTATATTATCATAGGTATACTTGAATTTTACCATACACAGCGCAAAATCAAATTCCTTTTCTAATTTATCGATTACTCGTTCCAGTTTACAATAACCGATTCATCAGTTTTACTTTTGCTTCTCTTTATTTACTTTCTTCTTTATTCCTTCGTATCGCACATTTACATTCGATACAGGTTTTCGCTTGTTGTCTCTGCTTAGAAGTCGTAGTCATTTATGTATTGTGACGTGATTTTTCGAATCACGGTCCCAAGGCGGCATCGGTTACCGATACAGATAACGTTCTCGATTTCTGGTTCCCTTCGGGTCGCCACCCTGCTCAGAAGCTACGCTCTCGGGTTGATTCGTACAGTTATGTCAAGGCTCTCGTAAGATTTCGTTATTGTTTAGTTGAGGTCGAGGTGCTCGAATCTGCCGTGGGGATATAGTCTCGACGTACCGAGTTGCCCGGCAGAGGAGACGACCCGACGGAGACGTCTCCACGGA